AGGTAGCTATCCATGGGTGATTCCATTCAAGAAGTTCCGCAGCTGTTTGGAGGCCACGTGAATTCCAAAGGCGTTCTCCACTCAGGCCGCGACTGGAGATGACTTCATATTTTGGTGTACATGAAGGTGAATGGCGGCAGCCGGCTCCTGCTTATAGAGGAAGATCTTGGGTATCTTCCGCCCTGGTACTCATATCCACTTCCTCTGTCTGGGCTGCGAAAACTTCGCTCATATGTGACTCGGCCGGAATGACTTTTTTTGGCCCCCCCCCTGTACTTGTACAAGGAAGGACGCCTACTCGAGCTCGAGCGCAAGGGCTGTCTTTAAGAAAAGCACCTTTCTCAATGAAAGGATAGGGTCGCACTGAGCCTACGGACGAGCCGAGGACTGCACTTATTCCCATTGGCAGATGAGGATACACTCTTATTCGCTGCGGATGATGGGGGTGTCAGGGAAATGGGAACGGCACGGCTCCAGCCCGTTTTTTCTTTTTTTTTTCTTCCAGAAAGCGACGAGAACATATAATAGCGTTCGTATCAGTCCCTTTTCCACCAATTCTTGTCGCTTACCTGCTTCAGCAACTGATGGAGAACGGGCTGACGGCTCGCGAAACCCCAGCTCCACTGAAACGCCCCATTATCCACTTCAACAGGACCGCACTTGGTCTGTGTGAATTCCTATTTTCAGGCAATTCTCGCATTTGCTCGACAACATGCGTGTGATGTCATTTGTTTTTCGACAGGCCGGGAAGGTTTGTAAGATTCTCTCAAGATCATTAACAATCACTGTTGTGTTATCTAACCCTAGATTATTAGTGTCGCTATTTTCCGGGTTATAAAGAAAAAATGGGGAGGAAATTAGACGAGATATGGAAAAATTCTCAAAACAACTAAGTGATCCGTTGTGCCTCTACTCACCAGGAAAGGATGTTTGGTCGAAGTGGCCGTTCAAGATGAGATGTATACCATCTGATGCGTTTTTGGAAGCTGATTACAAATCTGCATTCCATATCTGCTAAACGATTCTCTGAGCAGAGTTGTGCAGGTTTTTGACCTGGTCACCCCTATTTTCATCATGTATGTAAGGCACAAGAATCCCCCCCCCAAATTCGCACAAATTCCAACCAAAGTTGCCTAGGACATCAAGAAGTAACACTACAGTCATTTCTCATGGGGAATATCGTGTTCGCATTCCGGGTCGCCGTCTATTTGAGCGACTGTGACGCTAGAGAGGGCGAAGGTGTGCAGGAGCCTGTAGCACCGCAAGCGTTTTCGCGCTGAATGAGTGTGATATTCCTGTTCTGGGGATCGAATTTGCCATAGGGCAAGTTTTCAGCAAAGTCTGAAATTTTGACCGAAATTCGAAACAGTGGGGTAACCATGCAATTACATCGCCGCTGGCACTATCCCCGACTAGAATCCCAGTGGCTACTGGAGTATTTTCGCAAAATTCCGAACCTAATCGGCAACAGACTGTCTGACCTGCATTGAATAAGAAGTGAATTAAAACCTATTAGCAGGCTGGAATGCGCAAAAAGGATAAAAGACTTCTGCGTACTTGGAAACTTTTCGCGTGCGTTGTTACGACCATACAAACAAATACGTCTTGTACATCCAGAAATTATGGTAATTGTTGTGATCTTGGATATAACATCTTTAAGGCCGTTAATAGTAGCCGTTGAAAGTGATGCTGGTTATTCGGCGGAGTTCATCATAGCCACTATGGACAGCGATGATGAGTCGGAACAAGATTCTCCAGGAGCAACTCAAGAGTGGGGTCCTAACGGTACATCTCAAGCATTTTGGTGTATTTCAATATTTACAGACCGTCCCGTCGAGCAGAGTCCTCTGCAGAGGTGAACGAGGCAGCGGTGCAGTCCTTACAGATGTGAGTCTACAGCTGGTTGTCAGTTACATTATGATAGAGTACTCTAGCGCAGTTTGGGGAAGTGTGAGATTTCCTCCAATTCTTCTGGAAGGCATTTTCAGCGAAAATGATCACCAACGGGAGATCGCTCGACAGGCAAGCCAAAACTCTTCTCACGATGACTCAAGGCAACTAATTCAACCCGAAACAGTATGTGTGACAGTAATTTTTAGAATCTTTCCGAAAAAGATGATCAGGCAGTCGCTGTTCCAGGCCAAAACGAAGGTCACTGAGCAGCCTGAAGATGAGTCGATGGTGGACAGAGATTTCAATGAAGGTCAAGCGTTGGATGATCATATGCTCATGGATGACTTTGTACTCTGGTGATGGAATGGCCCCTGAAGTTGCTGCTGAACATGTCCCAGAAAAGGTGCCTGTAACCTCACAGGAAAATCCTACTGTTATGAAAAAGTCTGTGAATGTTCAGGTAGGATGAGTTGAGCTTTATTTATTTTTTTTGTAATCTCTTACGCTATGGAATTCCACGTCTGCTTTGTGGAATCGGAGCACCTTGCCTGTTCGTCCCATTTCGATGGCGTATAAGAGTTTTCGATTTTTCTTATTTCACACCCTCA